CCTCCTGGCAACACAATATTATCAAAATAATAGTGAATGCCCAGGCTCTATTTTTTCAAGTGTTAACAGGGCAGGCACTGCTGTGTGTGGGAGCCGACCACCATGTTGAGGAAAAGAGACACAATGGGTAAGTAGATGATTCAAGAATCAGGCAGACGCTGGACTAGAACTTGGGGATACTGTTCTCCTGTCAGGCCCTGTCAAGACTTTCTTGTCTTGTTATTTGTCCCTCTCATAGTGCTGGAGATTGAACCCAGAATTTGTGGAGGGTAAGGAAGTGTTCTATCAATGAGCCACACAGTCCTTTCTCTGTCTGTCTGTCTGTCTGTCTGTCTGTCTGTCTCTCTCTCTCTCTCTCTCTCTCTCTCTCTGTCTCTCTCTGTCTCTCTCCCTCTCTTCAGTCATTAGGAAAAAGATATAGGCCTTCTGTTTTTTTAATAGTCAAAAATGTTCTAGCCACAGGCAACCTTAAAAAAATAAAAATAAGGGAAGGGGAGATGGCTCAGTGGTTAAAAGCACCGGCTGCTCTTCCAAAGGATCTGGGTTCAATTCCCAGCACCCACATGGCAGTTCACACCTGTCCGTAACCCCAGTTCTAGGGGATCTGGCACCCTTCACACAGACACGCATGTAAACAAAACATCGATGCATGTAAAAAAATAAATAAAAATAAGAAAAGAATAAATAAAAATAAGTAGTGTATCAGCTTTGATCCCAGCGCTCAGGAAGGGGGGACAGTTGGACTAGCATTCCAAGCCAACCTTAGCTACACAGTGCGTGTGACACCAGCCTGGGCTACACATCTCAAAACTAAAATAAACAAGTGAGAAAAAAAGAGTGAAAAGTCAGTACGGGGCTGTATGAGGAACCAGTCCTTGGATTCTGTCACTCAGCGACTTGCTCCAAGGGACACAGTTGGGCGGGCCCTTAGAGACAAGCTTGAGAGCATCTATCCTCTAAAACCAGAGGGGACAACATGCAGACAGAGCTCCCTTGACTGAAGATGGATGTGTTCAGCTACAGGCCGCTTCCACTCTCCTCAGGACCACTCAAGTCCCTCTGCCCCATGATCACTCTTCCTTTTCCTTCAGACTAACCTCACCAGCCTGGAGGAAGCTGGGTTTCTATTTTTAGAACATTTGGGCCAGCACACAGCTAATGAGCATAAGAAGAAAAAGGGGTGAGCCATACAGCCCTTGAAAGTTTCCCTCTAGAGGCCTCCGCTCAGCCCTGCCTCATTGGTTCCCCAACAGAACCCCCAAGTACAGCACAAACAGGTCCTTCTTCAGCAGTCAGACAGAAGCTTATGTGAGGTGACAAAGCCTCGGAGGGGAGTGACAAGCCACAGAGAACATACCCCCGGAGGTCACCGTGGTTGGCCCAGCCTGGCAGTCTGTGCTTTCAGCTCTGTCAAGCACCTAACAAGCACAGGCTCGTTAAAAGTATTTCCGAGAAGGCTCCAGCAAGGCCCTGGGGTTAAGTCAATTCCAGGACCATAGAACGGCACAGCATAGTTCAGAATGGAACCTGGGCACACTGGCCTGTCCTCTCTGTAGCCATCCATAGTCCAGTCCTTGTTCCAGGACAGGCCCGGTTATACTGAGAGGAGTCTAGCTAGTAGCCCCTGGCTTCAGCTGCTCTCCTCGGAAGGCTGGAAGGGTCTCTTTTCATCTGCTACATCGAGACTCTTCTGGGACCCAAGGGATGACAGTGTTCATTACACTCATTTCTCCCTCTAGGCTGGATGCTCCACTGAGTATTTCTGGTCAGGTAAGTCTAGCAGTCTTCCTCCTCCGTTCTCCACATGAACCTAAATCCTGGCCTTGGAAATCTTCAATAGCTGCCTCCCGTTGACCTGAGTGAACCAGCTAAGGTGACCAGCAGACACTTGTGGCGGGAGAGGGACCCCATTCAAGCCTCCTTTGGGCCCTTGTGTGGAGACTTGTGCCTACTATCCTACCACTGTGAAGGGAGAAGAAGCAGGAAGGCCAGGAAATCAAGGCCAGTTTCAGCTTTATAGTGAATTCAAAGCCAGCCTGGGATATAAAAGACCCCGTGAGAATGAAAACAAAAACAAACAAACAAACAAACAAAAGGAACACAAAACCCACTTAGGACATTGAATTTGGTCAGGTGACTCCAAGAACACCACTTCCTGTTAGGAGAAATTTAGCTAAGAGCAACAAACCCCACCTCCCTTCCTTAGTCCTTGTCTGTTTCCTCTGGGATAAAGGAAGAGAGGCAATAATAGAAATAGAAAAATACATTGTGGTAGGCTAACTAATGACTCTCCAAATTTATCTATGGTCCCTCTCCCCTTCCAGGGCTTTTTTTGTTGTTGTTGTTTTTTGTTTGTTTGTTTTTAGTTGGCGTTTTAGTTTTGGGTTTTTTGTTTTGTTTTGTTTTTTCAGACTGATTTTTCTCTGTTCAGCTCTGGCTGTCATGGAACTCCGTCTGTAGACCAGGCTGTCTGCCACTGCCTCCCATGTGCTGGGATTAAAGGGGTGAGCCACCACTGTCAGGTGTCTATGTCTTAATCCCTAAAACCTATACACACTACTTTACAAGAATGATGTTATGAAGTTCAGGGGTGACTTTGACATGGGTAATTATTCTGGATTACCCACGAGGACCACAGGGCAATCATATGCTTTCGTGGAATACTACTAAGCCATGAAAACGAACAGAGTCCTGCCATTTGCTGATGACAGGGATGGAGTTGGAGTTGATTGTATTAAGTGCTTATCATCAGGTTTGATGTCCTGTGTTCGCCCCTTGAGACCTTTGTGGTACAAGGAGAGAACTAGACTTTCATAAGCTGTCTTTCTCTCTCTCTCTCTCTCTCTCTCTCTCTCTCTCTCTCTCACACACACACACACACACACACACACACACACACTTTTCTATATGTATCATAAGAGACACCCAGAGAGTTTAGTGCAAAGAGAATACAATATTAAGGGTACAGACCCGATGGAATGAAATGGGATAGCCACAATCAAACAATGCCCACCAGCCACCAGAAGCTGACAAAATGGAATAGATTCTCCTCTGCAGCCTTCAGAGGGAGCACAACCTCACCAACACACTTTTATCCCAGGGATAACAACTTGGAACGTCTGTCCTTTAGAATATGGAGAGAATATATTTCTGCTGATTTAAGGCATCCATCCCGGAGTAGCCATTTGTTTCAGCAGCCGATAGAAACAGATATAGTGTTACCACTTAGTGCCTGTCTACCTTGTGCAGGGCACAGCTCAGAGCACCTCATCCACACAGAACACCATGGCTCTTCCTTTGAGGTCTGACAATGCAGACACCAGGCCTGGGTTGGAGTCTCTGCTTTCCCCGTAAGTACTGTGACCCTAAATATGCTGTATAACCTCTTTTAAACCTCAGCTTCCTAGGTCATAAAACAGGCGTGGAATATGTCTTCACTAAGCTGGGTAATGAAAATAAAGTGTTTCCAGGCATCAATAGTATGTCAGTGGTCTTGCTATAATACAATCTCAGGGATTAAAGAAGATCTAATCAAGCCATCCTCCTAGTCTGTCATGACCGGAGCAAGGCCTCTGAGGCCAACTGAAGGAAACAGACTGTTGTTCTCTTAAAGCCCACTGAATATCAAATATGAAAATCTAAAGAGTCCACCGAAGCACTTCTTCATTTGTTTAATCAATCTGGGTCCATGATGCTGATCTCACTTCAGAAATGGCAGCTGTCTGGAACTAAGCAACTTCTCCAGTGTTATTTGGACTCAGCTCGGGTTCTCACGAGGCCCTAGATCGACACCCATCCTCAGGGCTTTCCATGGCACCCTCACTTGGCACCCCATGCACAATCCTTCGCATCTTCTCCTTGTGTTGTGCTGAAGCCCTTAGCGGGAAGCAGAAATCTTGGCCCGCGTTGTAGCTTTTCATGGAGCGGGCTAAACAGCACTGCAGCCTGTCTGAGCAGGCTGGGTAGGATGATATATTCCTGAATAGGCGTCTGCTTTCCTTAGTCTGTCCCCCACGTTAGGAAGGCTCCCTTAGGACACCTGGAGTTACCGCATGAATGAAAGCGGGCAGAAAGAACGAACTTACTGACTCGACCCTATCTGATTAAGTTCGCCCAACTCTTCCATCCTGGTGATGTAATTGAAAGAGAGGGCAGCACCTGCCACCATCCCGAACTTTGTGTCTCCACCGAGGAAACAAGCAAGCCAGGAATTAACCAGAGAAGGTGCCGGCTTTCTATCAGACGAGGTTCCAGCCCCTTGCCCTCCTGTGCACCGGCTCCAGAGAACTGTTGCAGCCTGGCGCTGGCAACCCTGCTCTTTCCAGAAGGCTACAGCGACAGGCACCTGCGCTCTCTGCCCTTCGCCTGCCCACCCTCGGAAAGGAAGGAGGAGGCAGGAGGCCAGCTCCCCCACCCCACCCCGCCCCATACTTTTGAGCACCCACAGCTTTCTGCGCTGCCGTCACCACTGACGAGAACCCTGGTCCCCTGAAGGAATCACTTCTTCTTCCCATTCCATCCTCTCTATCAATGAACACGCAGCGACACCCACGCTCCCGCTCCTCCCACTCCGGAGGGAGCCGGAGCTCAAGAGCGACATCCGGAGCTGAAAGCCGCTGCAGCGGGGGCGCCGGCCACCCTGCCCCGCTGCCCCTCGCTTTTCCCCCAGCCACCAGTAGACCGACCCCCGACCCCTGCTCCCAAACCAGCATCTGGATGGATTAGGGTATCCAAGTCCTCCAAGAGACCCGCCTCTCCCGGGCTTAATCTAAGAGACCTCTGGGGGAGCGCGCGCGAACCGCCCAGAGATACCCGCGAAGCCCGGGATTCGAACCTGATGCCCCAGCCGTCCAGCATCCCCCCCCCTCCAAGCAAGCCCCCTAGCCAAGCACTCCCGTCGCCAGAGCGTCCATCGCGTTCCCCTAAGCAGATCTCAGGCTGTGCCAGGACGGCGAGCCGGAGCGAAGTCGAGGGTCGCGGGGCCCAGGCGGGTGACTTACGCGCGGGCGCGGGGGAAGCCCATGGACAGGAGCACGTCCAGCGCCGACCCATGCTTGACGGTGCCCGGGCGCTGCAGACGGTCCCTGCGCGGGGTGACTTTGCTGTACAGCTCCTCGCGAGCGGCCATGCCGAGGGCTGGGGTCGCGATGCCGAGTGCCCGCTCAGCGGCCGCCCATCGCCCGCTCGCAAGAGCTGGGGGTCCCGGGAGGACGGTGGGGGCGGTGCTCCCCGATCTCCGGGCGGAGACTGACGCTTCCTGGAAAGGCCACTGGAGCTCGGCGCGGGCCGGTGGCTGCTGCGGGTCCGACCTCAGCCCGCCGGATCCGGGAGTCCCAGCGTCGCACCGCTGCAGCCTTCTCTGTCCTCCGCCCTCCCAGCTTCTCCTCCCCGAGCTGTCCGGGAATTTGCAATGAGTAATTTTTGAATGGATCAAAAAAGGAAAAAAGCAGCCTTGTGGGCAGGCCCTGCCTCGCCTGTGCCGGGCCCCGCCCCTCTCTTAAAGCGGCCGCGCCGGCCCAAGGCGGCTGGAATCCAGCCAGCCCTAGTAGGAATTGCTTCTAGACAGAAGGTCTCCAGCGACGAAGTAGGCCAGTGTGCTTCGATTCACAGAGCCCTAGTTCTGCCCTTGGCTTGCATATCGATCCATCTGGGCCTCGGGGCTTCAGAATAGCCCATTTCACGTTTCATTTGATCTTTGGCGAGGTCAGTAATGGAAACCCACTGCACGGAGGGATGAAAGGACCAGAAGGCTAAGCCATAAGGCCCGGGAAAAAGTGTCACCTCAAATAGATCTCGCTAACATTAAAAAGTTGTTATATCACTGTAGGCCGAGTCCCCCGCAGCCCTCAGTGCCTGACTGGACAGGGACTTCTGGAAAAGGGTCTCTGACTCTTGGAAATGGTAGGACCTGAGAGGGCAAAGGCCAGGGAGGAAGGGAGGAGAGAAAGGGGAAGAAGAAAGGGAAGGGAAGCAGAGAAATGAAGGGCTAGGAGCTAGAAGGAGAAGGAACAGAGAAAGGACGCTAATTATAGCACTTCCGGATGGGAAGAGCTGACATTCATGAGAGAGTGTGCACCCTGTCAATAAAAGGGTTCGGAGATGGGGTCTCTGCTGCACAGGAGGCACAAGGGAGCTCCCACTCTCACCCCAGTAGGACCAGCAACCTCCACCTCAAACAGAAGTCATTACTGCTGCTGCCCGTTAAAATTTGATCACCTGGAGACAAAGCCATTGTTTTCAATCAAGAACTGATCCCATTTAGTGTAATAGAAGAGACGTGGATCTTCTTTGGGGGGAGTGGTGGTGGTGGTGGTGGTGATGATGATGATGATGATGATGAGGGTGGTGGTGATGATGATGATGATACCTAATATTTATTGGATCCATTTGTATGCCAGTGACTGTGTTAAGTGTAATGGCTGAATCAACTCACAGGCCTTTTAAAGTGCCCTCGAGGATGCCTACCTGGATAGCCTCATTTTAGAGATGAGAAAACTTGGCTCAGAGGGGCAGAGGAAAATTCAAGAGCTCCCGAGTGAGGAGATGGAGCTCTGACTCACTGTGGTACCCTGAGCAAGTTACCTCTTCCCCCAACGGCCTTGAAGTCTGTCTATACAGCGGTAATTGCTGAACTCCACACATGCCAGATTCTCCAGAAACTGCAGTTCTTCCCTGTTTGCCTGCTTAGGGTGCAGGGAAGGGAGGGTTACCAGCATGTGTAAAGCCCCTGCTGTAGCTTTAAATGTTGCTTTATAAGGCACCCAAGAAAATTAAAGTTTAATCCCCTGACCTCCCATCCTCCACTGGTGTTTCTTCAGAGTACCGTGGCATTTGGAAGTGGGAAAGTGAGACCAAAGAAGCCTGGGTAAGAATTTTGCATATTTCTGCCTGGTATTATGAAAGAGACCAAGGGCAATTCACACTTCCTAGGTGGGGGAGTTTCTTCTTCCCAGCAGAGGAAATGTCTCGCTAAGGCAGTGAGTGGTTGGAGGCAGCTTGGAAAACCATAATCCGTAGACTAGCCTGCTTGGGATGTGTTCAGGAAAGTCTACTGGACAGTACCCAGCATCCTAAAGTCTTTTTTCAGATATCTGGGCTTGAGCCAGAAGATCTTGATTTCAGTCAAGAGAAAATACTGTCTGTGGCAGCACTCTGTGCATCCAAAGCCGTGCAGAGAGCAGCAGCTCCGGTGTAGTGAGCCCTCACTAGATGCTGGCACTGTCCTCAGGGTCTTCCACATGTGACTCTTTCCATGCTTCAACCAGACGATGAAGTGACTCTTGAGAACCTGCACCCATGTCCTGGGTATGTACTAGTTTTGCTAAGTACTTCTTTCTCTCAATGCAAGAGCTTAACATTGTGATATTTTCTTTTACACTTTTATTTGTGTGTGTGTGTGTGTGTGTGTGTGTGTGTGTGTGTGTTTACTAGAGCTCAACAGTGTGGGTGTAGAGATCAGCAGACAATTTGCAGGAGTCAGTTCTCCAGTTCTCCAGTTCTCCAGTTCTCTCTCTCTCTCTCTCTCTCTCTCTCTCTCTCTCTCTCTCTCTCTCTCTCTCTCCAGTGTGGAGCCCAGAGACTGGACTCAGGTCTTCAGTACTTCTTCTGAGCCGTCTCGCTGGACCAAAGTTTCTTCTTAAGAAATTCCAACTTTTCTTGGGGGGCGGGAGGCGGGAGGAGTGGGCTGGAAAGATGGTTCATTGAGAGCATTTGTTGCTCTTGCAGAGGACCCAGGTTCAATTCCCAACTCCTCCATGGTAGTTCATAAGCATCTATAACTCCACTTCCAAGGAGTCTGATGCCCTCTTCTGACCTCCACAGACACCAAGCATGCATGTGGTACACAGACACGTATGTGGGCAAAATCCACATAAAATAAAATGAGTAAATCTGATAAAAATAAACTTTCATAGTAAGCCAACAACCACTTACTGTTTTGATGACAAAGAGGATGCCGAACAGTCAAGTCTGTCTGTCTGTCTGTCTGTCTGTCTGTCTATTTTTTTGTGGCAGTCTTCCTGTATAGCTCAGGTTAACTTCACACTGAATACCTTCCGGCATCAACCTCCTTCCAAGTGCTTGATTACAGACCGGTGCCGTCCCATCCCGTCCCCCCCCCCCCGCCCCCATGCTCTGTGTGATTGCCTTCTGCGCCTCTTGACATGGTTTGTTGGAGCTTTTTCTTTGGACCGTTTGCTTTAGTTGTCTTTCCCCTGGCTCTGGAAAACTGCGGGGCAGAGAAAAGGATGGGTCCAGAAAACAGCTTCGAAGGCCGCTATTGAAAACCAGGCCCCCTGAAGGCAAACCGTTTTCTGTTAAGTCTGGGGCAGTTTTTTTCAGAAGTCCCAGCCTGGCTTCTCACCCTGCCACAGCTCAGTGCTGCCAGGGTTTATTTTAATTGGGATGGTTGCCATTTGCTCTGCACAGGGCTAGAGGGCTGGCAATTAAGATGCATTGTGCTTTAATTGTGGTGACTTTGAGAGGCAAGGGGAGGCTTTTATAAACATCCGTATTGTTCTGTCACAAAGGAGGAAGAAGAACGAATGTTCATCTGACAGTGTATCTTATAGCTGTGGGGAAGGAAGGGGGGGAGGGCTTGCACAATGACAGAGCTGACACATCAGTATTAAGCTGCTGTTCCCTCAGAGGAAAAGCAAGTTGTCATGTTCCTGTGCCCGCTAGTGTCAGAATCCACCCAGATCACAAAGCTCCTTTGTAAAGGACTTCCACAGAGGCCACAGAGATGCCCAGAATGGGATCAGCTGACTTTACTTCCTCCTCTTCCTCCTCCGCATCCTCCTCCTCTTCCTCCTCTTCCTCTTCCTCTTTCTCCTCTTTTCCTATCCCTCCTCCTCCTTCTCATTCCTCCTGAAACACTGTCTCACTATGTAGCCCAGGCTGGCTTGGAACTGATCCTTCTGCCTCAGCCTTCCAAGTGCTAGGATGACAGCTGGCATCCCATCCTGTGCTTGCCCTTTCAGAAGTCTGCTCTGGCTTTTCCCCTCTCCTTCTCTTGGGCCAGGAGGAAAGGTCAATCATTGCATCAGAACAGCCAGGGAAGTCCAAAGACTACTTCCAGTGCTGATGGCTGAGTGTGCTCTTGGTAAATGAAAGCAGATTTTGAGCCTCTGGGAATGACCACAGCTCCTGATCTTCAAGGGAGTTCTTCGTGGCTATGAGGTCAGGCACTGCTGCTCCTTAGGGTCAGTTCCCTCAGCTGGCACATGTGGGGCTTCCCTTAGGCTGTCATCCAGGACACAGGAACTCAGGAACTCTTTGAGAGTAGGGGGGTCAGGATTATCCAATTGGAAGCTGGGTGGATAAAGCAAGCTGTCTAATTTCCTCTTGTACCACAGAGAAACCCTGCCAGCTTTACATCTTGGGGAGTTTTATGAAGTTGTTTTTTTTTTTTTAATGAAAAAGTTTGGAAACGCTTTTAATGCTTTTGAAAATACAGAATAAGAGTCTTGGTTTAGTTAGTGGTTTGGAGTGTGTGTGTGTGTGTGTGTTTGTGTGTGTGTAAAAGTACGTGAGCCCTTGTGTGTTTTTCATCCATATGAGAGTCCCAGATCAACATCAGAATCTTTCTCAACCATTCCCCATCTTCCTTATTTGTTTTGAGGCAAGGTCTCTCAGTCGAACCCAGAGTTTGCTGATAAAGCAAGTCTGGCTAGCCAGCTAGCTCTGGGATGCTGGGTCTCCACCTTTTTACCTTCGGAGTCTAGAATTACGAACAGGCCACCATGCCCACCCAACACTTAGATGCATTCTGAGACTCAAGCTAGTCTTTGTGCTAGCACCAACACATTTTGCACTGATCCATTTCCCTGACACTGTTTTGTTTTGTTGTTTTGTTGTTTTGTGTTTTAATAGGGTCTCAAGTATCCCAGTATGCTTATAGTTTTAAGTTAACCTGAAACAAGCTAGAGTCATGGGGAGTGAACCTCCATTGAGAAAATGGCTTCATAAAATAGGGCTGTAGGCAGGCCTGTAGGGTGTTTCCTTGGTGATTGATGGGGGAGGGTCCGGCTCTTTGTGGATGGTTCCACATCCAGGGACTTGTGGTCTGAGGTTTTATAAGAAAGCGTGTTGAGTAAACCATAGAGGAGCAAGCCAGTAAGCGCGCCCCTCCAGGGCCTCTGCATCAGCTCCTGCCTCCAGGTTCCAGGTCTGTTTGTCCTGACTTCCTTCAGTGTTGACTGTGATGTGGAAGTGAAATAAACCCTTTCTTCCCCAACTTGCTTTGGATCATGATGTTTTATCAGAGCAATAAAAAAAAGAAAAAAAGAAAAAGAAAAGAAAACACCCAGGATAGCCTCAAAATAGCTAGGTACTGGAAGTTGCCTTAAACTCCCTATCTCCCATTCTCTACATTCCAAACTCGGGATTATAGGTTTGAACCGCCACACTCAGCTACAGAACTGGATGATTTTTAACACCTGGTTTAGTTTAGAAGTCTGTAATTGAATAAAAAGGAAAGCAAGGGAGAAAGGAACAGGATTCACATCATGAGGAAGAGACGAAGAGACAAGTGAGACATGGGCCAGGGAAGAAAAGTAGACGAGAAAGGGGCCTCCCAGGATGAGTGTTGGGGTGACACTATGCTGCAAGGGCTGGCCAGTCCTGCCTCACCACAGGCCTATCCTACCCTTTCTCCTGTCAGCTAAGTGACCCTCTTCAATCAGTCCTCTCTTAAGCTCCTTTATTGTCATCCTCCTGGATGCTCGGAGGCCAGAAGCTCCCCTTCAGTTGAACTGGTCTGAACTGGATGCATCCATAAAGGCTGGCACAGTGGCTAACAGTCAGTCTCTGACTTTATCAGAGCAGCATCAGGTTGCTAAATAGCACCTCCTTCCAAGACAGGTCAAGATGACCTTGTTGACATGAAAAAGGACCACAAAAGGAAGGAATAAAAAAGATGATGCCCCAAGTCCTGGAAAACCTCTGCCATTCCCAGACCACCGCTCTCCCTTATTAACCTCTCCTTACCCCCTGTGTATGCATAACTTCCTGATTCTATTCCATTTATTTCTGGTTAGCAAAAGTGCATTCTGGCACAACACTCTTGAGGAGGTCCGAAGACAACATGAAGGAGCCAGTTCGTTCCCTCCACCGTGTGGCTTGAGTCATCCGACTTTGGAGCAGCCACCAGCTAACGTTCTTGTTTTGTTCTGTTTTGTTCAAATGTCTCACTCTGTGATTGAAGTAGATCTGAAACTCAATACATAGCACAGGCTGGCCTTGAACTTGGCAACAACTCTCCTGCCTCAGTCTCTCTAAATCCCATATGCTGGGATTCTGAGCATATGCCACCAGATCTGGTTTAGTTGTATTAAGAATTCTTAGCTGCTGGTGGTGGCACACACCTTTAATCCCAGCACTTGGGAGGCAGAAGCAGGTGGATTTCTGAGTTCGAGGTCAGCCTAGTCTACAGAGTGAGTTCCAGGACAGCCAGGACTACACAGAGAAACCCTGTCTTGAAAAACAAGACATAACAACAACAATAAATTTTTGACTCCAAATGGTAATGGTGTCATTTCAGAATTGTAGAATGAAATACTAAGATCAAGTCGCTTTTCTTCTTGGTCACAAGTAGAATTGGAACCGGAAGTCGTGTTGCATGGTGCATAACTGTAATCCCAGACATCTAGAGGTAGAGGCAAGGAGAGGGTTACGAGTTCCAGGCCAGCCTGTGCTACATAGTGAGTTGTAGGCTACCCTGAGCTAAATGAGACCCTGTCTCAAAAACCAAAGAACAGGAGTAGGGTCTGAGTACTGAAGAGCATGCCTGTAGTCTCAGCACTTGGGAGGCTGGAGGCAGGAGGATTGCTTTGAGTTTGAGGCCAGATTGGTCTACCTAGCAAGTTCCAGCCCAGCCAGTGCCATTTGGAGAGACTGTCTCACAAAGAAACAAGCGAACAAATCAAGAATCAGTAGTACAGCTACACCAGATCCAAGAACCTCAAGATGGCTGGCCACTTCATTGTCTGTGTATTTGATTCCAGATTGTTTAATGTATAAAGTCAGGTTACAGAGCTGGGAAGGCCAAGGATAGAAACATAGACCATTGGTCCAAACCAATAAAAAACATATATATATATATATATATATATATATATATATATATGACATATAAAATATATATTTATTTCTAAAAGAGATTTATGGAATCTTATTTTTGTGTGCATATGTGGTGTCTGTCCATGTGAATGATGGTGCATTTGAGTGTGCAAGTGCACCTCCATGTGTCTGTGGCCAGAAGAGGGCATCAGGTTTCCTCCTCTCTCCCTCTCCACCTATTCCTTTGAGACAGAGTCTGTTTCTGGACCAAAGGCTCACGATTTCCCAAGCTGGAAGCTAGCAAGCCCCAGTAATCCCCCTGTCTCAATTCTTTGGAGCTGGGGTTTCATATTTTTGTGAGACACCAGGCTTGTTGTGTGGTTCTAGTCTAGGATCTGAACTCTGGTCTCAGGACTGTGCAGCAAACTCTCAACTACTAAGCCATCTCTCCAGCCTCAGAAAACTTGTGTATTTTTTTCTCTTTTGATTAAAAACAAAAAGATATTTCCCTTGACTGCACTCGGAAGAGCTGCTTTTGTTATTTGCTTGTTGGGCTATGATATTTGTCTGTCTTTGGATTCTTTCTTTCTTTCTCTCTCTTTCTTTCTTTCTTTTAAATATTTATTTATTTTATGTATGTGAGTACACTGTCTCTGTCTTCAGATACACAAGAAGAGGGCATCATCAGATCCCATTACAGATGGTTGTGAGCCACCGTGTAGTTGCTGGGAATTGAACTCAGAACCTCTGGAAGAGCAGAGGGTGCTCTTAACCACTGAGCCATCTCTCCTGCTCTGTCTTTGGGTTTCTATCCTGAATCTTCACTGGAGAGTGTATGTCTCCCTGTTCCTCCCAATAAGGATAGGATTCTGCCTTGGGGTCTCTGTCCCCACTTTGTCACGTAATAATAGACGCGTTGTAAAAGAATCAGAACAAGGCAGGAAGATGTAGAGTTAGTGGCCAGCTTGGGCCTCTTCTCTGTCTCAAATGAACACATGATGACTATACCACGAGGACAAATAAGAAGTGCTTGTTCTTGACAGTCTCCGTATCTCCTCCAGCTCTCTCTTAACCTTTTTCATCATAGACCTTGGATAAAAGGGAGTAACCCTGACCAACATTTTAAGTGTCTGCTTCATGTTAGGACTTCCAATTATTATTTAATCCCATTAGACACCCCCCCAAGCAGACATTTATATAAGCCATGTTGGAAGGTACATGCTTTTTCCAGGCAGAACAAGCGCTAGACATCTAAATGCAGGTTGAAGGCATTCTACAGTGACCCATAAATGATTAGTCTTGCCTTGAGATATTGTCACCGGCTCATTGTTTCAGGAGATAATTCCTACACTTGTGCTGTGAAATGTTCTAGCTCACAGGACGATCAGCACTGGCAGAAGAAAAACACATATAAAGGGTTTTAGCAAAGCTGACTTAGAAGTAAACGTTACTAAGCTCATTAATGATAAACAGGCTTTTTTCCCCCCTCCTACTCCCTGTCCACAATGACTGGATAACTATTATCTCTGAATGCAGGCTCACAGATCCGTGAGACTTCAAGGAATTACAGCGTCTAACAGGAGACAAAAGAGACCGGGACACGACAGCACAGGATGTGTAAGAGACATTGTGGTTTGTCCAGATCTAGCCGCCGTGTGGGAGGATGACAGAGGAAAGTGTCTCCAGGGAGGAGGTCTCTGCCTGACACTGAGCGATGAATGGGAGGTTCTTTGAAGCAGAACAGGACAGCGAAGGAGAACAAAACTGAGGCAACGGGAAGGAAGTATTTTCCACTGGGCATGTTTGCGACCCAGCACGCAGGAGGCAGAGGCAGGAGGATTATTATAAGTTTGAGACCAGACTAGTCTACACAGAAAGTTCCGAGCCAGCCAGGACTACGCTGTATTATGATCTCATGCCCTTTATCAGACACTGTTCATGATAATAATCAAAAAAAGAAAAAAGAAAAAAAAAACTACATACCATTCCAAGTAGCGGATACATGAAAGCTAGCCAATAGAAAAGAGGCCATCCCTGAAAACCCACGTGGCAGACACCTGAGGATCAGGGACAGAGAAACCATTGTTTCAGATGGTACATGCACCAAGCTGTAGAATTGGGCTGTCTGGGTTCCGCAGCTGGTCCCTGGCCAGCATGGTCATCCTGCTAAGCACAGCGGTCCTGCTGGACTTGAACCACTAGGATCCTAGGGACAAATTAGTCACTTCACAAAATGCTGTTCGTTCTTTAATGTCTAGCTAAAGCACTTCAATTACCATGAAGTCTTCCAAGACCCTCAGCTACTGAGAACTCCGACTTGATTTTTAAAATTGATTTATTTTATATATGACTGTTGGCCTGCATATGCATATACCTGGTGCCCGTGCCATGAAGGTCAGAAAAAGGGCATCAGGTCCCCTGGAACTGGAGTTATAGATGGTTGCAGGCTGCCATGTAGGTACTTGGGGACAGATCGAAAAGAAGTAGCTAATGGGTGATAGTCATAAGGGACATTTTGGAGAGGTTGAGGGACTTGAATGTGGACCAGATGCCAGCTGCTGTTGGACTGATGTTGTTTTGTGCAGCGGTGATTATGTCAGAGGATGGTCTTTTCTTCTGAAGATGAGCTGACATTTCTGAGAGTAAGGTGGCACAATACGACAGGCTGATCTCCAGATGGTTTAGCTGCGGAGAACTGAGAGTGCCAGTCTAGAGCGAGCAAAGGATAGCCCGCGTGGGAAGCCCTTGCCAGTTCCTGCGTCTGCCGGAACGGACACACGGACACTCACTGCACTCTTCTTTCCATTTCCCTCTGGTTTTGAAAATGTTCGAAGAGCTTTTTCAAAATCAGCAAGTTGTAGTTAAGGGGCTGGCAGTATAGATCAATTGGTCTAGTGTTTATCTAGTATCTTAGCCAGGGTTTTATCGCTATGAGAAGACATCATGACCTAAGCAACTCTTATAAAGGACAGCATTTAACTGAAGCTGGCGTACAGTTTCAGTGGTTTAGCCTATTAATGTCAATATTGGGAAGCATGGGAGCAGGAAGGCAGACATGGTCCTAAAGAGGAAGCTGAGAGTTCTACATCTTGATCTGCAGGCAGCAGAAGGGGACTGTCTGTTTCTCTGAGTGTACCTAGAGCGCGCGCGCACGCGCGCACACACACACACACATTCTCAAAGGCCCACCTCCACAATGATACACTTCCTTTAACAAGACTACACCTACTTCAACAAGGCCACACCTACTCCAACAAGACCACACCTACTTCAGCAAGGCCACACCTTCTAATAGTGCCACTCCCTATGGGCCAAGCATTCAGACACAGGAGTCTATAAGGGCCATTCCTATTCAAACCGTCACACCTAGCTTGCAGAAGGCCCCTGGGGTTGATCCACGGTGCCACATGAATGGAACCGTGGTCACAACTATAATCGAAACACTCCAGAAATAGAGGGTGGAGAATCAGGAGTTCAAGGTCATATTTGGCTCGGTTGAGGCTTGCCTGAGTTGCAAGAGACCCTGTGTCAAGCAAACAGAGAGTTGAGGAAGGAAGAGAGGGAAAGAGAGAGGAAAGGAGGAAGGGAGGAAGTAGAGGAGGGAGGGAGCGAGGGAGGGAAGGAGGAAGGGAGGGAAAAAAGGAGGGAAGGATAAAGGGAACTACGGTGGAGAAGTATAGCAGTCTTTCAAATTACAAGGAATGGCTAGGTTTCTCCACAAAATTGTGATGCATTTGTGGGAAAGTAACCGGGAGATCCCCAGATCCCAGCATTCAGGAGGCAAAGACAGGTGGATCTCTGAGTTTGAGGCCAGCCTGATCTAGAGAGAGAGAGAGAGAGAGAGAGAGAGAGAGAGAGAGAGAGAGAGAGAGAGAGAGAGACAGAAAGCATTTGTAGGAAAGATACAAAGTAGGAGCAAGGAGAGGTCTGGGCCTCCTAACAGCCAGCAAAGCCAGGGTAGAAACAAGTGACTCAGGTCTTTACCCTAGGAAAGTACCCAGCATAGGCAGAAAGCACCCAAGACTCAGAGCCACCAGGCACCTTAGTCTCTGGCTTCTGCCTTTTTTTATGTCCTATGTCACCACACCTGTAAGTGTAATGACTCAGCCAGCCGTCATTAGGAGGGGTAACTTTCAAAACCAAAGTGAAGTGGCTCTTCTCAGGCTGCTAGCGGTGAAAGCCCGTTTCTTAAGGGAGGCCTCTCTATTCTCAGGGGCAGCATGTCTCCCCGAAATGGGCTTGTCTCCCTTCCATATTTGCCTTATTACAGCTACTGCATCCCCCAAGAGCTAGTATTTCAACCTGTCTATAGAAAAAAAAAAGTGCTCTAGGTATTTGTAATTCTATTTCTGGTCCTCTGTTTCCAGGAATGTCGCTACCCCTTGTCTCCTTTGACTAATGCTTGCTACTCCCAGGAGCCAATGCACTTCTCCATTGACAAAGTGGCTGGTGGTGAAGTCAGCCACATGCTCTGAGCTTGTCTGGAAAAAGTTCTAGGCAGCTGAGAGACACTTGATCCAGAGCTGAATGGCCACTCTGTGCTGCCGTGCTAGTGTGGGGCTGGCTCTTATCTGCTGCCCTGTTTTGAAGAGAGTCACTCATTCCCTTATTCAGAATGAGTAACAGTCGGCGGTGAGGGATGGATAGCAGGTCCTTGATTTCATTTCCTGCCCGTGGTTTCTGCACGGGGGTCTGACGGACAGAGAGAGGCATTTCAAAAATGTTCACGCAATCAACACCGCTAGCAAAGTGGGCAATTCCCTAAGATGGACGGACTGCTGTGCCCAGCAGCATTCATTGGGTAGTTTACGTTCCAATGCAGTAATTCTTAATATTGTTCTCCTTTACTTTGTAGTCACATCCTGTATGTGGACTGGTACATAATTCTTAACAAGGGACAGAAGGAGATTAAACACCATTTACCACCACAAATGAATCAGGTATCTTTGTTGACTTTTTTTTTAGAAGATTAATTTTCTTTTTAATTATGTGTCTGTGTGTGGGTATGTACTCATGAGTGCAGGTCCCCGAGGAGGCCAGAAGAGGGTGTCAGACTCTCTGGAGCTGGAGTTGTAGGCAATTGTGAGTTACCTGATGTGAGTGAATTTGGGTCCTCTGCAAGAGCAGAAAGCAATCTTGATTTTTTTTTTAAGTATAGAATAGAGTTTATTCATGGCATGGGGAGGGGAGTTAAGAAGATAGTAGAGGCAGAGAGAGAGAGAGAGAGAGAGGAGAAGGGGAAGGGAGGGGAGGGGAGGGGAGAGGAGAGGAGAGAAGTAGAGACCCACCATGATCACGTGGAGCGAGAGGGGGGAAGAGAATGGGGAGGGGGGAAGGGGCAAGGGGACAGAGCAGGAGCAAGAAGGCAAGAGCACAATCTTGATTCTTGAGCCAGTTTCTGAGCCTCAGAATTGGGTATTTTATACCACACAGTTTCCTTGAATCTTTATGAAGCATCTTAAGGAGGGTCTCCCCTGCCTCCTTTCACAGATGAGGAGAGCGAGATTCAGTGAGCTGGACCTTATCCCAGACTCTGTTCTACGCGTCAAAAGCTGAAATCCAAGCTCCTCCCACTACGGCTTATGTCCGAGAACTCAGCGCACTCTATCATTTGCTAGACAGTCATTTGGCTTTAGATTGCTCATTGTCCATCATTCCCAGTACATATTTCCTCGTTACTAAGATGCTCTTCACTGAGCACTCTTGAGAAGAATGAGAACATGTATTTTCAAGACAGATATTAGCAAGACTCAAGTGACCCTCATCTTCATTAGCCTGGAAAGCAGTGGACCGTTGGTCATTGCAAGCATCCATTATAGCACACACACCAGCAAGTCCCAACTTTCTCACACTGGTAGGTATGGGGATGTTACCAATTTTCTTCGGAGATACTGTATCAGTAATGTGTTAGTTCTGAAAAGTAATAGTCAGAATTAGTATATATTTAACGTCTCAATTATTTCCTATGCTTAGCACAACATAGATGTAACTGGACTTCTAGGGCAAAAGCCTGGATTCCTGAAGTCCAAACAAGCTAAGTTTCACCATCCATCCCATGTATAACAGTTTCCTCTGAAATAGAAACATTCCATCTTGCAGAGAAACTCCTTAAACAGGAAGGTCAATTTGAGGAACGATTAGCTTGCGCCCGCATGGGCGTGGGTTCGTTCTGTTGGGCTGAGTTGTGGGTCCCCGCATGTCTTCTGTTCTTCGTGGGTGCTTGACTGAGTTGGTTCTGCATGGCACCAGGATGCTGGACTGTGAGAAGCCGCAGGATCGCCCCGGGACAGTGGGAAAACTCAGTCTGAAGTTCCATGGGGGGGAGGGGCAGGGGCTTTTGAGTTGGGGATCCCTGGGGCCAGGAGGAAGCCAGAGACCGACTGGTTTCAAGCTCTGGGGCTCCCAGACACGGCTGGGAGGCCGTGGCAGAAGGGAGACGCAATGGGGCGGGGGGAAGAAAGAGGCCCAGGACACCCCACGGGAAGAGATTTGATTATTATACTCGCTTGGCAGGGTCAGCAGCCCAACTAGCTTGTTTGAAGAGGCAGACCTCCTCAGGGAAGCACGGAAGTCCCCCAAAAGACACGAGAGGTCCGTGGTTTTTTCAGGCTTTATTTTCATAGCGGATGGTAGATGGATCTGGATGTACCCCCACTTAGGTCAGAGGGGATCTGACTTAAATAGGGAGGGAGGGAGGGGGAGGAGGGTCGGGGAAAGAATACTTAGTTAGCTACAGCCTCTGGCCTTTAGGTATCTCATTAATATGGAAATCTCTCGAGACTGAGGCCTGTAGTCACACCCTCTACCTGTGGAGGGGTTGGTAGGAGTGTTGCCCTATGTGACTGAACGGGTACAGATCAAATGGAGGTCTTAGATCGAGTATTAGGAGTCTGGAACCTGGGGCCGTGGCAAGATACTTGCCATCCCTCACAGACAATGGACACCTGTTGGGTTTCTGGCTATCTCTAAGCCAGTGCTCTACCAGAAACCAAAGCATCCTTTCACGGTCCCACAGGTCAACAACTCAAAAATTTCAGGAAGTCCTTGAAACTGACCAGATTCACTAGGCCTCTCTCTGCTCTAGTGTAAGCCGAGCTACAAAAACCTTCAGACCAGAGCAGCTGCCTGGAAAAAGCAGAAACCAGCAGAGCTGCCTGAATCGATTTAGACCAACTAAGGTACCTGGAAAGGACACTGTCCAACCTGTTGAACTGGCTGCAGGATGTTCAGTATATGTTGAGGTAGGCTTTAAATCATTTCTGATGCTGTAAACAACCTCTCACCCATATTCCTGTAAGTAACTCCAGTGAAACTCATTGGTTCACCATGTTGGACTTTGGTGGTATTGATATTTTGGTCTGTCATGGGCTTCCTATCTAGGGTGCATAGATGTGTGCGTTGTATCTCTCCAGGAAAAAATTTGTCATCCAAACATGTACAGCCCAACATGCTACTTAAAGAGACTTATAATATTGAAAAACAGGAAGAGGAGATTTAATCTATGTTGCCACATGGGAATGAGTGTGAGTTTAGTGACTCTAAAACCAGCCTTTAGGGTGCTGACAGGAGCTTTAGGTTGTCGAGAGGGAGAATTAGGACAAGGGCAAGAGGTCTGAGTCACCAAGCAGTTGTGGTCTAGACACGGTCTAGTTGATCATTGTCCCCGTTTGAGTTTGTCAGGTAGCCCGGAGAAGATGTTATAGACACAATTGCTATGCTTGAGGAGATCGATCTGGCTTCTACACGGTCAGTGCTTGTTCTCCTGGATCATCTCAGCCTCACAGATAATTGCCCTCATCATCGGACTGGGGGATGGGGGGATCCAGTTTGTGAGGCTTTTGCTGTTTCTGGAATCTAAGGCAACTGCAGGTTAAGGACAACAAATTGTAAGGACAACCCTTTGCCTTCATGGGTACATGCAAGGAAGGCATCAATGCTTTTATAGAAAAACAGCAGAAACAGAAAACATTTTCTAAGCTCCTGTTACTCAAATAGACCTTTTAAAATATTGGATATTTTATTTATTTACATTTCAAATGCTATCCTCTTTCCCAGTTTCCCCTCCACAACCCCTCTATTCCATCTCCTCCCCCTGTTTCTAGGAGGGTGCTCCCACACCTACCCACCGACTCCCACCTCACCGCCCTGGCATTCCCCTACACTGGGACATCAAGCCTTCAGAGGACCCAGGACCTCTCTTTTCATTGATACCAGACAAGGCCACCCTCTGCTACATATACCACTGGAGCCATGGGTCCCTCCATGTGTACTCTTTGGTTGGTGGTTTAGTCCCTGGGAGCTCTGGGGGGTCTAGTTGGTTGATATTGTTGTTCTTCCTATGGGGTTGCAAACCCCTTCAGCTTCTTCAGTCCTTTATCTAACTCCTCCACTGGGGACCTCTTGCTCAGTCCAATGGTTGGCTATGAGCATCTGCATCTGTATTTGTCAGACTCTGCAGAGCCTCTCAGGAGACAGCTATATCAGGTTCCTGTCAGCAAGCACTTCTTGGCATCCACAATAGTATCTGGCTTTGGTGTCTGCAGATGGGATGGATCCCCAGGTGGGGCAGTCTCTGGATGGCCTTTCCTTCAGTCTCTGTTCCACTCTTTGTCCCGGTATTTCCTTTAAACAGGAGCAATTCTGTATTAAAAATTTGGAGATGAGTGGGTGGCCCCCTCCTTCAACTGAGAGCCTTGTCTAACCTCTGGAGATGGTCTCTAAAGGTTCTCCCTCCCCTTTGTTGGGTATTTCAGCTAAAGGTAACTGCTGTGGCTGTTTAGACAGGAATGTAACTTAAACTCCATAAACTTCAGGTTTTGCACAGGTTAAGTAAAGATTTAAAAGACACTGTGTCAGTAAATGATGGGGCTCAGTATCAGTACAGAGCCCAGCATACAGAACACTTTGCCGACATAGACATAGCAATACCAAATAAGATCACGTCAAAACTTGGTAAAGCTAAAGGAGACGCAGGAAATAATGACTGTGAATGGGAAAGACAGGGAAGGAGAAGAGGACCCTGGGGTGGGGCAGGGTGGGGCAGGGTGGGGCAGGGCAGGGAAGTTGGTGGTAAGAGGAAGGCATTCAAATTGGAACCTGGACTCTAAGAAGCTGATTAGCTAGATAGAAATGACAATGCTACCCTGCATAGCAGAAGCTAGGGTTCAAGGTCTCAGGTGTGAGGTGTAATAATTGTGTTACTTCTGACCTAGTTCAGGTTAGACGATTCAGGATCTGCTCTAAAAAAGCTTTTTACGGGACATACTGTGTAGGGTATGTGACGGTTAAAATGAAGTAGGAAATAAATTAAAACGTAGGCTTTATAGCCCTAGAAGAGGTAAGTTAGCATACAACCCCATATAGGTCGAAGAGAGATAGTCCAACCATACACACAGTCTTTCACGGATGCAGTCTTCTGTGGTCATCCATCCAGCTTGGGGAATTACTCCAGAGAGGCTGGTTCCCCGTTAGGAGTAGCCCTCGTTTGCATAACGTTTTCCATGGGTTGCGTTTGTGTCTTACAAAAATGTTCAAAAGCCCTGCTGTCACCCTTCCATGGATAAGAAAATTAGGAGTCCCCTTTCATGGCACCCCACTCCTGGCCTTATTTATGTTCTAGGCCATTTTATGGATCAGCTGTCAGGTAAGACATACTTCGAGGGTGAGGATGTCCGTTCATAAGAATTGAAACTACGGTTGTTTGTCTAAGTATCTCTGCCTCTCTTCACTGCTACAGCTCCTGCAAGCTGCTGGGATGAAGATCCAGAGGATACGGCCAGACTGGCTCTCTTCCCCCACAAAAACATCTGGTATGAGTCAGGCCTTGCAAAGGCCCTGGAGACAGGCCCTCGTCTTTCAAACTCAACCCAGCCGAATGGCTTGAGGGGAAGATACAGTATTTAAAGTCAACCTGACTTTAAGGAATTGACTTCAGTTGTCAACCTGACACACGGCTGAGAAATTGCCTTCCTCCGAACAGCCTGTGGGCGTGTCTTAGCAGCTAATTGATGTAGGTGGTTCCTGTGGGTCGTCCCATTTCTGGACAAGTATATTCTTGAGTCAGAGAAGGAAGCTAAGCAAACCAGAGAGCTAAAGCCAGAGGGAGCAAGCCGGTCAGCAGCAAAGTCTCATTGCTTTTTGCTTCGGTTCTTCACCTCAGGTTCTCAGCTCGAAAGAACCTGTCCTTGCTTCCCTCAATGACCGACTGACCTGTAAGGTGTAATAAATGGTTTCTTTCCTCAGGTTGTTTCTGGTTGTAGTATTACCACAGCAACAGAGAAGTAAAGTAAACCCAGGGGGCGTACGTTTGCTGACCACCGGTAATACTGCAGATAGATGAGACAGAGTGCTAAAGAGGACAAATGACTCAGGGACAGGTTCAGCTGAGCCCAGGCCGCTCCAGCTTCCTAATTTATGTGTTTTCCTGTTCTCAGGCTTTGACACCTGGGGACAATGGCTCTTGCCTGTGAATCACAACTGCGGGATGAGCTGGAACTGTTTTTGCAGGCGCGATCTGTAAAAGAGGGAAAGTAAGAAAAGGTCTGGAAACTTCCAATCTCCTGGGCCCATCAGGAAGAACGCGGGATAGTCCAGCCCCCACCGGAAGCCATTTGTCCTTTGCTTCACCTTGAAGGAGTTTAAAAGCCTTCCTGTAATGAAGAGGCAGGGATGGAGGAGGGACCAAGGAGGGAGAGAGTGATGGGAAAGAGAAGAGGCACGGAGGAGGAGACAGGCTTGGGCCCCTGTAGCTGTTTCCTTTTGTTGCAGTGGGGTTGTGTTTGTAGGTCAAAGACAGATGTCAAGTGGGAGGGGTGGACATGGGGACCACAGCTGCTGGGGGATGGTACAATGGCACCAGCCCATGGAGACTCTGGAGGGAGGAGACCACAGAGGTTGGGAGAGGAGGAAGTGAAAGAGTCACAGGGGTGGGAAGATAAATAAGGTAGACCCTCTTCCTTTCCCATCAGGCCACCGTTCTGAACCCTAAGCCCGATCAGGGCTCACAGTCTGGTGTCTAACAATAGCCACTGGTTTGGGCATCTGGTTTGGCTTCTTTGCTCCCACACGGTGTGACCCTGGGCAACTGGTCCCCAGCCTCTTCACCTGCAAAATAGAGATGGTGCCATGGAGAACAGAAGGAGACGAAAACACCTTGCACACAGCTGTAAGCACACGGGAAACTCTTTATAGCGAGAAACTAGAAGCACGGTCTAGAAGCACGGAAGCGTTGTGATGCGCCCTATCCAGGGAGTTCACATTGACTATGTACCGTTGGGAGTCATTTCCAACTGGAGTGTTCATCCCTGCAGGCTGACTTGTCACCGGGAAGCCTTGGGAGAAGAGTGTTTCCATCCTCAGTTTCCATATCTTCCTTCAAGGGAGGCTAAGATGAGAGACAGCCAGAAAGGGATGAAGGAAGGGACTGGTATCTTTTCACACACCTTCGATTTAACCTCTCTCTACTCTGCTTGTCATTTTCTCCAAGGCAATGGGTACTAAACCCAGGCTTTGCACAGAGTAGACAAGCATTCTACCACTGAGTGCTTTTGTTTTGAGACAGGATGTCACTGTGTAGCTCAGGCCACCCTGGAACTCACTATCCTCCTGTCTCTGCCTCTGGTGCTGGGATGACAGGCATGTGCCACCTTGGCTGGCTGTTCAGCCTAGCTTCTTCCTCGTTATATTCTCCAGTCCTCAGTGGCCCAGGATCTCTCTGCTTCATTGACTTCGGCTCCTTTCTACTCCGCTCTGTTATACATGAGCTGTGCAAGCACGGAAAAGAGAACAAAGAAGAAACAATAACTCCCTAAGACTTTGGGTGCTGTCTCAGTAATCACAGATTTGTCCCACGGATGTAATGTCATATGACCCTTCCAGAAGAGACAATTGTATGTACATTCTATCTTACAGGTGGGAATAGGTATGTATTGTGGTATACACACACACACACACATACACAGAGAGAGAGACAGAGACAGAGACAGAGACAGAGAGACACAGAGAGACACAGAGAGAGACAGAGACAGAGAGAGACAGAGAGACAGGCAGTTAGAGAGAGCAGGGTGGGGAACACACTGGAGCCCAACCCCCGGGGAATTGGGATCCAGAGCTTGGACTCTCTTCTTCTGTGTCTGTTTCAGGGTAGATGTGGTGAGGTCATTCAAGGGCCAATGGGAACAATTCTCGGAGGAAACCTATACCTTATAAGAACTAGAATAAGAACTATCTATGAAATATTGGGAGTTTCTATTCCAATTTTTTCTATCAGCCCAACTCAGACCTGAGCCAACCCGGCCCTACCACTGCCAAGCTTGTGTGGCTGGCTGTAGCTGAAATGAAAGTTAAGTCTAGTGTCCTGGTCCCAGGCCATGACCTTTGCCACTACTTCCCTTCTTGGAAGAACAAATTTTCAGTCTATGGCCCATGAGCACATTAGTTATGTAAGAGTTACTATGGGTCTTGGACCTATGGACCAAGGCCACCCTCTTGAGAGGAGACCAAAGAGCCAAAGAGATCTAGAACGTGCTGTCCCCAAGAGATCCATGGAAGATGGTCACTGTGGGGCCAAAGAATAAACTAGTCTTGGCTTTCTCCGTTCACCGTCTGTAGGTAAAGTACATTTTAATTTTTCAAAATTCTTTTACGTTTAAGTTGACTTTGCATGTACACACATGCCAGAGCATGCGTGTAGAAGTCAGAAAACAACCCTGACAGCTGTGGATTCTGGGGATCAGACTCAGGTGGTTGCGTTTGTCAGAAAGCGTCTTTACCTACTAAGCACTCTCACAGACCTTGATAAAGGATATTTTATAAAATCAGCCTGAGGTCTGGCAGTGGTGGAACACACCTTTGATCCCAGGACTCCAGAGGCAGAGGCAGACAGAGCTTTGAGTTCGAGGCCAGCCTAATCTACAGATTGAATTCCAGAATATCTAGGGCTAGACAGAGAAACCCTGTCTCAAAAAAAAAGAAAAAGCCAAAAATCAAAAACCAATAAATTAAACAATAAATTAAAGTCAAATCAGACTTGAACTAGGTCCAATTGCTCAAGCTGGTAAGGTCAACTTCTCAGGAGGCTAAAGCAGGAAGATCATAAATGCAAGCCCTGTGTGGGATAGAGTGAGATCAAGCCTCAGGCAATCAAGTGACATCCTGTCTCAGAATAAAAAGTAAAAAGATCCATGGGGAGAGCAACAATACCAACCAACCAGAGCTCCCAGGGTCTAAACCACCAGCCTGGGAGCAGATAGGGAGGGACCCATGACTCCAGCTGTATATGTAGGGGAGGATGGCCTTGTTGGGCATAGGTGGGAGAGGAAGTCCTTGGTCCAGTGAAGGCTAGATGCCCCAGTGTGGAGGAATTCGTGGGTGGGGAGGTGGGAGTGGGTAGGTGGGTAGGGACACATTGTCATAGAAGCACGAGGAAGGGGATGGGATAGGGGTTCCTGGGTGGGGAGGAGGAAAGGGATCACATCTGAAATGTAAATAAAACATCCAATAAAAAAGTAAAAAGATAGGCTATAGATCAGTCCAAGAATATTATATTTGTCTAGTATATACAAGGCCCCAGACTCAATTTCCAATACACACACACACAGACACTCACACACACATACACACACACACACTCACACAGACACAGACACACACACACACACACACACACACAGACACAGACACACACACACACACACACACACACACACGCATGCATATGTAAATGGAGTTGTATCCATGTTAAGCTAAGAACTCAAATTTTTTTTTTTTTTTTTTTTGCTGGCTTTGGGGTGAAGTCGTGGTCCTTGACAATACTCAGGGCTCTCCAGTGTCATGTGATCCTTGTCAGCCCCGTCACCCCTGTCTTTCACACTCTCAGTTTTAGTTCAGTACAGGGATCAGTGACTCACCACAATTGCCTGCAAAAGGTGTGTCTGTGCTCTTGAACACAGACAAGACATGGGGAATTATAGTGGAGAGACAGGGCCGTAGCGAGACGGCCTGGGTAATGAGAACCTAAGGGCAGACTGTCTGTCGCGTCTGTTCTGGCATTTGGATGAAGGATGACTTCCCGAAAGGATGATATCTATGGTAAAAGCTACAGGGTCTTAAGGGATCAAGAAAGCCAGGGAAGCAGTTCCGGTAAAAGGAATGAACTATGCAAATACTGGAGAAAATAATAACGACATTCATGAGTCAAAGTAAGAAAGGTCTTGATAAAGCTTCCTAACTAGTCGGGCCTCTTGTTTTGGTCTTTGTTGTGGAAACAGGGTCTTGTAGTCAAGCCTGGGATTGAACTCTTGATCCCTTATCTCTGTCTTCCAAACATTGGATTATAGGTATGCACCATTAAACCTGCCCCCAGGGAAGGTATTAAGCTTAAATTTAGGTAAACAGGGAACTAGTGTGTGTGTGTGTGTGTGTGTGTGTGTGTGTGTATAAGAGAGAGAGACAGAGACAAAGAAAGACAAAGACAGAGGGAGAGAGACTGCTCTGGTCTGAATGTATCCTCAAACACTAACATGTTAGAAACTTAGTTCCTAGCTGCTACATGGAAAATTAGCCGTTGTCCAAGATTAACAGTAGACAGTTTCTAGTGCAATAGTTCATGAAGGTACCACCTGACAGATGGTGGTTAGTACACAGGGCCTATGCCCTCATCAGTAGAGACACTATTTTTTTTTTTTTAAGACAGGGTTTCTCTGTGTAGCCCTGGCTGTCCTGGAACTCACTCTGTAGACCAGGCTAGCCTCGAACTCAGAAATCCGCCTGCCTCTGCCTCCCAAGTGCTGGGATTAAAGGCGTGTGCCATCACTGCCCGGCAAGTAGAGACACTATTAAAAGGCCTTGTAGGTATGAAATCTGTCTGTCTGTATCAATCTATCCATCTCTCCTTTCTGTCTGTCTGTCTATTAATCCATCTATCCATCCTTTCTCTCTCTTTCTCCTTTTTCCTTCCCTTCACTCCCTTTCTCTTCCTCCTCTTCTTCCTCCTACTTCTTCTTTTGGGTATTTTTGAGATGGTCTCAAGAAGACCAGGCTGGCCTCGAACTCTCTGTGTATGAACTCACGATATAGCTGAGGCTATTCTAGAGCTTTTGATTTTTTTGCCTCCACCTCCCAAGTGTTGAGATCACACACACACACACACACACACACCACCACCACCACCACCACCACCACCACCAAGCTGGTTTTAAGTAGTACTGGGATCGAACTCAGGACCCCACTCAGGCTCTGCAAGTATTCTACCAACTAAGTTACATCCCCCGCTCTGATTGTGTTTTGTTTTGAGACTTGGTCTACCTATAGAATCCCAGGTTGTTTTCAAACTGGTGGCAAGCCTCCTGCCTCTGTCTTTTGAGTGTTACCGTGGTTAACTCGTCATCACCTGTTTTCATTCTTCAAGAGCTGTAGGTCGAATGAAATGTCTCATTCATACTAGGTAAGAACTCCACCTTGAGTTCCGACCCTGAGTTCTACCCAGGCCTTCTCTTTCACTCTGTATAAGAGGACACAACACTGGTTGGCCACTCCCATAATTTCTGCACCACCATGTCTTGCAGGCAGAAAGAATTGTA